GGGAACTGGAGCTTCTTCTCGTCTATCAATTTCTGGATAACGTCTCGCAAGACAACACAGTTGTTGGTGTTATGAGACCAATAACTGTGGTACTTGCATAACGTTTTCCCTTTGAGTTCTTCGGGCTTCGGAGTTTTATGGCCGAAGGACAAGTTCACCTTCTTCTCGGCCACCAGCAAGTCGAAGATAGCCTCGGCCCTTGTTAAATCAAAAGTGTAGGCCTTCGTTTCCCGTGTCGCGAACTTGGCGTCGGGGACCCTTGTGCGGCTGTTGTCAGTTTTAACAAGCCCTTTGCAAACGAAGGGTTTGTCTATGTTGACTTCGGCCGAACTCATCTCGACCTCGTCGCCCTCGGCCTCTGCGGAGCCGTCTGCTTCGGCGTAGCTAACGATGGGATTCCTGTAGTAGGTCCCCTTTGAGGCCGTCTTCTTCTGCATCTCCTCTTTCAACAAGGACGCATATCTGTCCCCCTTGTTGGTCAAATCATGCATGTCCCGGAATTCGATTCCCTGAAATTTCTTCCGGTATTCAAATTCCAATCCTTCCTCGGCCATCTTAACGAACTCCCTCTCTGGTAGGTTCGTGCGGCACCAATTCCTACATGTTTTGAACCGTTGTAGGTAATCGCGAGGTGATTTGTCCGATGCTTGGCTCATTCTTGCCAACTCGGTGACCGTTATTTCTTGGTTGGTCTGATAGAAATGTTCGTGGAAAACCCTTTCCATATCAGACCAATCCCTTATTAAGTTCGGCGGAAGGTTTATGAACCATGAGAACGCCGCGCCGGTCAAAGAGTGAACAAATAATCGGAGTCTCTGAGCATCCGAATCGGCCTCTCCACACTGGGCCGTGAAACGGCCTATATGTTCAATGGAGGAGGTCTGCCCATCCCCAGAAAAAAGCATGAACTCTGGCAATCGATAGTTCCGGGGGAGGGGGATCCGGTCAATTTCTGGCGGGTACGGCCTCGTATATCTTGGCATGTCCGGCCGCCTCTGAGCTAGGCCGTCTTCGATCATCCGCCGGACGTCTTCGAGCCGGATCCCTTGAGGTGGTGCCTCCTGTTGGGCTGCATACGGCCGCGTGGCCTGTAATACCTCGTTCTGAGGCCTTGTCTGCTGGGCCTTTTGAACAAAGGGCTCGGCCGGGATGACCGAGCTGGTTGATGCCAGATGAGCACCGTGGGTTTGGCCAAGGTGCGTATGTGATGTTGCGGGAACGGCCGACCCATATTGAAGGTGAGAGCCCAACGGACACGACAACGCCTGCAAAGGTGGTGGGGCGGTCAGACTGCCCTGACCGTACTGTTGTGGTGATACAGCGGTCGCGTTGCTTGGGCCAGGATGGGTGTGGACAGCCGTGGTATGAACAGAGCCGAGTGGGTGGATCGCGGGATGCGTGAAGCTACCGTGCCCTAGTGATACGACCAAAGCATGGAGCGGTCCGCGCGCTGACCCCAAAACGTGGGCTGGGGTTGCCCCCAGCTGTTTGTCGGCGGCAAAGAATACTG